CCCCGCTTAGGACCGTGTATGTTATAAGATGTTTGTATATAGTGTTTCGTCGTTCATGTTACCTATTTTTATTAACAAAAAACAAGAAGACACATCTAGACATGTTGACTGTGTTCATTACTTACTTTACTGATGTGATAAATTACAACAGATATATTCACCATTTGCTTTCCTGATCAGGATGTCCCCACTCAGGACCGTGTATGTTATAAGATTTGTATATATATATAGTATTGTATCGTTTATGTAACCTATTTTCATTAAAGAAAATGATAATGACACATCAATTGACCGTGTTCATTACTTACTTTACTGATGTGATGGATAACAACGGAAATATTTAACATTTAATTTCCTGATCAGGATTTCCCCGCCCAGGACCGTGTTTTTATAAAATGTATATATCTATATATTGTATTTCGTCGTTGATGTTACCTATTTTCTCGTTAAAAATAATAATGACACATCTTTTGATCGTACTCATTGTTAACTTTACTGATGTGATGAATTACAACGGAAATATTTAACATTTGATTTCCTGATCAGGAGTTCCCCGCTCAGGACTGTGTTTGGTATAAGATGTATATATATAGTATTTCGTCGTTCATGTTATCTATTTTGTGTTTAAAAATCAATAGGACACAGTTTTTGACTGTATTCATTGCTAAGTTTTCTTATATGATGAATTACACAGAACTATTTAACATTTGATTTCCTGGTCTGGATTTTCCCACTCAGGACCGTGTATGTTATAAGATGCATATATATAGTATTACATCGTTCATGTTATCTATTTTCATTTTAAAAACATCATAAGGACACATCTTTTGACCGAATTCATTGTTAATTTTTCTTATCTGATGATTTACGACGGAACTATTTAACATTTGATTTCTTGATCAGGATTTTCCGCTCAGGACCGTGTATGTTATAAGATGTATATATATATATAGTATTTCTTCGTTCATGTTACCTATTTTGCAACTGAAAATCATAAGGACACATTTTTTGACTACATTTATTATTAACTTTACTTATCTGATGAACTACAACGGAAAATATTTAACATTTGATCAGGATGCCCCCGCTCAGAACCGTGTATGTTATAAGATGCATGTTACCTATTTTGCATTTAAAAATCATGTAGACAAATCGTTTGACCGTTTTTATTACTAAATTTACTTATATGATGAATAACATCAGATACATTTACAATGATATTTCTTGATCAGGATGTCCCCGCTCAGGACCGTATATGTTATTAGATATATATATATAATGTGTAACATCGTTCATGTTAGCTATTTTGCATTTAACACTCATAAGGACACATCTTTTGACCTTGCTCATTACTTACTTTACTGATGTGATTAATAACAACGGATATATTACCATTATATTTCCTGATTAGGATGTCCCTGTTCAGGACCGTGTATAATATTAGATGTATATATATGAAGTGTAACATCGTTCATGTTACCTATTTTGCATTTAACACTCATAAGGACACATCTTTTGACCTTGCTCATTACTTACTTCACTGATGTGATTAATAACAACGGATATATTACCATTATATTTCCTGATCAGGATGTCCCCGTTCAGGACCGTGAATGATATTAGGTATCTTTATCATGTTTTTCATCACTGTAATACTCTTCAGTGGATTTACCATTTGGAAATCATTATGACACTTTCCTTGTTCATTCACATTCATGAGTGTGTATATTGGATAAAAATGACCTACCGGAATGGATTAATTTCCATTTTATTTCGTGATTCGGAGGTCCCAAATCAGGACCGTATACATATATTTAAGCTTACAGTTATGGGTATTGGCTATACGGAACAATCATTGATATATATATATAAGCTTACGGCTATGGTTATTGGCTATACGGAATAATCATTGATATATATAAGCTTACAGCTATGGTTATTGGCTATACGGAATAATCATTGATATAACTTTGATTCCTGTTTTATTTTCTTCAAATATTATTGCCCCTTTTCTGACCAAACATAATTATTGAGGTTACACAGAAATTTCAAATAATTAACATTCCTGGTTTCCTCGATTTCGATTCTTAATATAATCTAATATAAATTTTTGGGTTAGTTTTATGGTAGTATGACAGGACAATTAACATTCCTGTCGGTATATCATAAGTTATAAAACCATTGTTTTGTCATGCCACGGCGGTTTTTCAAAAAAAGTCGTATAAGGTGTATACAAACATGAAATAATTTGGATTCATTGTAGTCTACTCTGATCCAACAGTATATATGTACATGTTTGAACTGGTTTTTTTCGTTTTGACAGATAGGGCTATATGAAAAATTCTTTGGAGAAGGAAGAGAAACTCGGTATTTTAATTTTACGCATATTTGTATCATCTGAGTACTAAAACAATTTAGTCAGATCTCGTGATCGAAGGGAGGTAGCTGTTACCTCCTGAACCTACAGTATGAGTTCTGCTACACTTTTTGTATTAAAAACAATCATCTTAATCTTTTTTTCTTTATAATTTGTTGCTTATACTTAACCATACTAAACATCAATCATATATTGATGCAATTCATTATAGATTTTTGATAAACCAAGTGTAGGAACACGCTATAATATGCAACTGTGCTGGTCAGCGACGGTCCCCGTCAGCCCCGGCTCTAGTGAGGGCAGCTCAGCTGGTTGATACTGTAGGACATATCGTCACGTTCGTGTACTATTGTTTACCCGGTGTTAATGTAATTAACACTAAGGTATTGAAATGTGCGATACGAAATACGGAAATGTTGATACGAAAATACACCAAGAAAAACACGTGTATTACAAAGGGTGGGAAGTCCTTAATAAATGATTGGATGTGTTATCAAACAGAGTCGACAATTTATGTAACACCCAGTTTGTAAACTATTTGAGAGGATAAGGTAGTGTTAAACACTACTTTAGAATCAAAGTCACTGTTTGGAAATATAATTGTGCCCGAGGCTGTCATTTTCTGACAAAGGAACAGCCATAGTATCTTACCTGTAAGCATGTACTGATTTACCTGTGAATCTACTGGACAGACAATGGGCTGGATTAATTGACATGATTAATGTTCTTCACACACGGTGTTCAAGATTGGGTACAGCCCATCAGTATCCCATCTCACCTCAGGTGAATGGTCAGTGTGTGGTCATTGAACATGTATTCTCAGGAAGCTATCATATTGATAAGACAAATATGTGTCAGCGGTTGGTTACATTGCCCTAGCAACCATCTTTAAATCTACGACTGAAGTAAAGTTTTAACTGCATGACTAAAACTTGCGGTTCCCTGTACAACTGAATTCATGTGATTGCTTATTAATAAATGTATCAACTTATTTCAACATGCAACATGTATGTACCTGTATAAAACTTAATCTACATATGTTTACGCCCTTTAACTATGAATGTTGTCATCATTTTAACAATTGGTAATTCATTAATGTACCACCAGGCCAGCTGTATACCTGCTACATTGTTGTGGGGAACACAGTAGACCCAGGTAGAGATTGGTGGTATGAGGATGGGGGGGGGGGTTCCTAATTCAAAAATCAGCATGTACATGTACGTGACGTGTATGCATATGTAACAAAGAAATATAAAACAGACTGACTTATGGATTGTTTTGTCTTCATTTTCCTAACAGAAGACAACGTTGGATTAACGGGCTTTAATTAATTCCACATCGATAGCCTGAGCTGTTACTTGTGTTTATACAGTGCAATGCCATGATATAAGATATATCTGGAATGTTTTGTTTTTGTTTTTTGTATAAAACGAAACTAATAAAGTCAAACATATGTTTTAGTACTGTATATGAGACGGAACTAATGAAGTCATTGACCTTTTTTAATAAAACAAAGAAATTACTCTATTGATGTCGTGCAAGTGAGAAACATTTCGTAAAAAATGTATGAAATTATAGGAACACTTACCATATTTATCAATATAACATAACGCTTACTGATCCCCTATCCTGACACTACAATATTGATATAAAATGTGATGGGAATTTAACTATGATCAGGTAATCTTTTTAACTGTTTTTCTAATAATACAACTATTTATATATTTTCTGTAATCACCATATAATATATAGCGTACAGTTTTTCTTTGTACAAGTGTATGTTCAGTTGAAATATGATTAATCTGAAAATAAAAATCTGTATAGATATAGTGAAATTCTCAGTTAAATGTCTATTTTCTTTTTCTTTCATTTATCAAATCATGAGTGAACAAGTTTATTATAAACACTAATTTGTATCACAGTCTTTTAAACTTTGGTTAATACTAGTGCACTGGGGTTCACATCGTTATGGAAATAACATCGTAGTATACTGGAGCTAACATAATAGTGCATGGTGTAAACACTGAAGTGAAATAGAGTGCGCTTCAATGTTTGTCTAGTGCACTTCTTTGTTCACTACATGTGCACTACGAAGTGCACTAGTTACCAAGTTAAGTTTACTCCCAACTGTAGGTATGGACGGAGCATAGGAATGTAACCCCTAGAGTAAACATACGTATTGAACACTAATGTACGTGTGCAGGTCCCATGTGTGTTACCGCTCATGAATGACACTTGAAAGAGATGGTTTACGGGTATTTTACTTCAACTCATTATTAAGATTACCTGTTCCTGTACTAAGTAGAGATTTAAATCATATATCAAAATAATAAGAAACACCTGCAGTAAGGTTTTCTAGTAAATGATAACCTTATAAACTGTTAATCTATTCGTTCATAGATTTCAACAAGATATTTAAAATATACCTTCATGGATTACGAAACAGCTAGACATAGCAGTCGACAGCTTTAATTGATAGCTACTCTGTCTTTCGTATTGATTTGATTGATTTGACACAGATATTGTCAGGATAAGCATCCTGAAGGTCTCCAGCTTGAAAAAACAGCGAACATTTATGAAACTGCAATATACAAATTGTACCATACCTTAGCCTTTTGTTGAAAACCAATTCTGACGAAAACTTTCAGAAGGACACCATGAAAGAGTCAATTCTTAGGATGTTGTGTGCTTCATAGCTGACAGGTACGATCTGGTTTACGATGATAGATATTTACTGCGCCTGAAAAATGATGCAAGGAAACAATATTTATAGTGCAAACAAAAATCTGAGATACACTGTATACGATAATTTTTCACATGTAAGTAAAATGGTGTAGGGTTCATCTAAAAAAGTAGAGATACAGTGTGATGTACAACTAGACATGTACACGATACATTTGTACCGATACAATTCGGGTAACTAATGTACAGACGTGGGTATAACGACAAACGGGTACAGTACGGTGACGATTTGTATATGATCTATTTGGATATATAATGATGAAACCTCATCTAGATTGAATACCGTTATCATTTTTCATTTCATTCTCATGCGTACTTATGTTTTCGTTAAATAGTCTAATTTGGTTTCAACAAATTTTATTGTATTTACAACAGGATTTTGTCAACAGTCAGTGCCTATATTAGTCTTCTCCTGAAATAGTCTAATCCTCTTCAATACATTATTTCATCACTCCGCATCTCCATCGTCTGGTCAACCTAAGCTAACTCAAAGATACTATGATTCAAATCACTCGCCAAATGATCGTTCTTGTCTACGTGCGAAAAGATACGTCTTCAAGTCGATTACAAAAGTTGTGTTTCAAAGTAGAATTCCCTGTTATATAAAGAAATACTTTTATTACTTAATACCAGACCTCAAAAGATTGCCTTTGTCATCGGTTTTAGTACTCACAAGTAGTATTGTGAAACAATTAAATAAGAACAGTGTGATTTTCGTACAAATATAAGAGTTTATTAATAACGAATTGTTATTTAAAAGCAGAAAACTGAGGCAGTTTTCAGAGTATCTCAATAGATGATATTTCATCCGTTGTAAACCACGTCGGGGAGATATCTTTAAGACCGAGGCAAATGTTCATTAAGGACTTTTTCTTTTTTATCAAAATGTATCTTAGTTTGTGCAGCAGACTGGTTTTATGACTATGGGCCCTGTAATGGGAATCTGTCTCGACTATGAGGATAGAACAATAAGCATAATGTGATTAAAGACAATAATATTATGTTTTTGTGCGGACTGTACGTACATGTTATTTTATCTTTATATCCAAACCCGTCCACGAGATATTTCACCAAAATGCCGAAAATGGTAAAAAAATAAGTAAAAATCCACTTAATCATATATTTTGCTTCCGCTGCTTTTGCAATGCTTTCATATAGTTGTTCTTTGTTACAGAAACATTCGGCAAAAAAAAAACATCCTCAGTATAGAAGTGCTTGTTTTAACAAAGGCCGATAAATGTATTTTACATGTTTTTTTAATACGTCATGAATGCCTTAGTATATAAACACTTCCGTTTATATTAAAGAAATGAAGATTGATTGTAATTGTATTACAATACGTTTCTATTGGTTCTTGGTTTCCATCACTGTTTTACTATCAATGGCGATCGGAAAATCGTTAATAAGGGAATCGTATTAAAATTAATTGTTATTGTTTGTTTTGTGTTTTGCGTCCTATTAATATCTAGAGCCATTTAAGGACGTGTCGGGTTTGCTTAACCCACAACAATCCTCATATCTATGCTTGTCAGTTAAGGCTAGATAAGTAGTATAATTCTTTAAATTAAACTAAATTCAATTCATGTTTCATATAAACTACATTGCTGAAAGTAATTGTAGCTCTTTTTGTTTTAACCTCATTAGTTACTTTAATTAAATATATAACAAAAGCAGATAAGTATGTGTCTAATATGAGATTTCATGTCAACAGTCACTCAAGGAGATATTTATTTTCAACAATTATGTTTGTTTTGCATGTGTTGTATACAGTATGCTCTAGTAAAGTTTTTCTTATCTTATGAAATGTGTAGTCATTTAAACAGTCTATGAACAGGTTTCGTCGTAAACATGGTGCAATGCAATTTAAGCATGCCTAGACAGAGAAAATGACTGAGGACGGATCACCTTAACAGACGTTTAAAAGTGCAAACACAATCGTTATCTACACACACGTGTACATGTGCAGATCATTTCAGTTATTCTAGAGTTGCTTCCCCTGTAGCCTAAATATGTCCTTATGGCACTTGATAATTCAAAAGTATTTGAGAAATTGTAAAACTGTGGTAATACCAGTATTAACAATTATAAATACATCATTCCTGGTGGGACCTTAATGAAAGTACTAGAAGCTGGAAAGAGTAAAGGGAAGCGTGTAAGACACTTGCTACGTGATTCAGCTGTATACTACCTAAATTACAAACACGTCAAATTACGCTTTTTCGCATCTGAATTCTTAAAACACAAACATCCGAAACCAATACAAATGTGTCTGGACCCAACCTTAGCATATAAGGACATATCAAACTAAGTTTGTTCACTCTTTCAGTTTATTAAGATAAAAGTAAATCTAACAATAACGTCTGCGCGCGCAAACATACTCTTTTATCCTGTAGAGTATTATGTTCAGTAGTTTAATGTTTTTTGAGATCATTGATGTCGTTCTCGTGTTCAATTAACTCCTTATTAAACCAAATGAGTTATTTTAACATAAAAAAATGCCTAGTTTTATAATTGTTCTGCATTACCTCGCATGTAATTATGGTCGATTTTTTCATTTCTTTCAATCCTTGACATAGTTGTTTTGACCTGTCATTAATATCAGTATGTGTGCTGTGTCTTTGTTATTATTCAAACTAGAGAGCAATGAGGACAGTTTTGACACAACACTTATATTAGGTAAACTATTGTTAACTGCACCTGTTATTTTTTTATTTTCAATTCATTTATTTCTTATCTTCGGTATTAAATTCATTAGTTTTTTATGCATAATAAATGCTAAGTTTGTTTCGAACACAAACGGGAATTGAAAACTTATATTGCAAACATTCGAAAACGTCTGGTTTTTTTGTTAAACAAATAGTGTAAATGACCTGTGTTCCGACTCTTAACTTCTGAAAACAACTCACAGGGCCACAGTGTGCCGAATCAGTGAAGTCAGCTGTCAAGAATTTTAGGGACTCTTTGCCAAATAGCACTCTAATACTGAAGGCTATCTTGGGAACGGATAACATATCAAACGGGCCCAGACAACATGTGGATACCCAGAATGGTCGATAAATAAATAAAAACAATGCAAATGGCCTCAAGAAACAAAAAAAAAGTATACTATTACAGAGAGAAGAACTATCGGCACGGTCACTTTTCCGTGCATAGAAGAGGTGTCTGAAGTACTTTCAAGCGTGTTGCGCAAACATCATATCAGTACGCCCTTGCGACCAAACAACAGTTCATACGAACAATAAACTGCTCAATGAGACAAAACAGAGGTTAGTTAACCAAAGTCTATGTAACGTCGGGGTCAGTGGCAGGGAATTTGAGTCACGCTTATAAAAGAAAGTCAGAAAGACGTTGAAGCTATGGAACAGCAAGTCTACAGTAGAAATACCAAGACGATATCGGAGAACTAAAACAATAAATCAGCCATTACAGACCATGTAAACACGCACAACCACAGCATAGACTGGAACAACTCGAACGTGCTCGAAAGGTAGGACAACTTGACATTCAGGGAAAGAAAATAATATCCATCTGGGTTAGGAGGTAAGTTGATTTGATGAACAGAGACGAACTGAGTCATATTAAGGACCCCATTTTAGCATCCAATAGGGGGCGAAATGAGTAAACATGTTATCCGTCCCGATGACTGCCTTCAGTATTAAAGTGCTATTAGGCAAAAGGTCTCTATGTTTTCTGATAAGGCATACTGTGGCTTTATGAGTTGTTTGTAGCTGTTTAGAGTAAAGCCATCGTCATGTACACTTTTTGCCTGATAAAGAAAACAAACGTTTGCGAAAGCTTGCAAAATTTGTTTTCGATTCCTGATTGTGTTCACAACTAACTAAGCCTTAATTATTATCTTGTTATTATTTCTGGTAATAGAACTTGTTTATTGTGTCACCCGCTATTACACTGTTTGTGTCATGTCATTGTTTACTCACTTGTTTGGTTCAATACATCCAATGATGTTGTTTACTATTCTAGTTCTCACCTTAATATACTATGATATTTGTTTCATGCCTTACTTCACCTCTTGCTTCAATAATGTTGTTGACACAAAGAGTATCAGTAGCAACCAGGAAGTTTATCTTATAGAAATACTTAAATCAAAAGACAACGATGTAAATGCATTGCAAAATGGATCTTAAGTTGCATTTATGAAAATAACATTAAAACATTGCTTTGTAGAGTATAAATTCCCATTAATAATCATATCTGTAAATCATTTCATTTATTTATTACGTCACAGTATTAACTAATGGACTGGGTTATAACACAGCTAAATAAATACAATATCACTTGTCAACTCTACTGATAACGAAGATGTTTTTGTAGTATTGATTTGAAGAACATGAAAAACAGTTATCATTTTAGAATATGCATGTATCAAGTGTCAAGCAACAGAAAATACTAAACAAAAATGGCGAATTACCCAGGCTTTCCAGTAGTTGAATGTCCCTTACCTCTTGAACACCATTCAGGAGTACGCCATTGTAGAGTCACTGTCTAGGACATGGTGTGCGTCACAGCTGACAAGTCGGTGTACCCTGTACCCTGTAACACTGCATATATAATAGCTAACGCATCCGATGTGGATTTAAATCAATTAAAACTATAACGTGTTTTTCAGTGTAGTCTATCTGCGTACGTATAATAGCCTTACGGCTACACTGTTGTATACTCTTGTATTTGATACATATGTATGTATACTAACGTACATAACGTATAGAATATGGCGTATTGGTCTGTATACGATTTCTGTGTATGTATAATAATGTACGGGTATAAATCTTATGTACAGTTTCATATTATATCTGTGTTTGTATAATGACGTACCTTATTCAATATAAACTATGATTCCTCAAAATGCAAAATGACCTAATGGTACAGTACGGTATACACTTTGAACGATTCTAATGAGTGTTATATGGCGTACGGGTACAAAGTGGTGTACACTTTGTATCATTTTTGTTAATGCAAAATAACGTATTAGTACAGTGCGGTGTTCACAACGTATACCTCTTGAGAATGTAAAGTGACCTAAGGGTACAATGTGGTGTACACTTTGTATTTTTCCTGCAAATGTAAATTGGCGTTTGTATGTAGTTTTCTATCTAAAAACAATACATACTTACATAATTATACATGTACATCAATGTGAGTAATACTCTCCAATACCCCAATTCAGCCTAGACCTTCCCACTTCTTGATATGGAATTCGACGGGGACTCACCTATGCGAACAGATCAGTAGCTTCAATTATATTTAAAATACCACGTTGAGTTTGGTCGATCGTGTGAGTGTATGAATAGCATACACTCAAGCTAAGCTGTCTAAAATAGTAATTATATGTCAAAAAGGTGTCAGAATAAAGGAGGAAAATCAACACATAAAGTGGGTATGAAACATAACACTAGGAAAATTGAATTGAATAAAAATCTTCAGTAGAAGTTTGGAAATTAAGCCATTATTTTTCTTCTCATAAAAGCATTAGTTGGCAATTATTTGATTAGGCGTCACTTTTCAAAGCCTCAGAAAACGAATAATACAGCTACATAAAAGTTTAGGCGGCTTCTCAACATCAAACTATACCGACTTTCATCCGACAAGGACTCGGATTGTTCTATAGAAGTTCTGATATCTGTACTGTTCTTTTGATGATTACGGAGGCATCCATGGATCTATTAACGATATTATAGATAGATGTGACAGAATGTTAGTTACATTTGTTTAAGTGTAAGGCAGTACCAATGTACATGTATATACTGTATAGTATTAGCACATGTCCCTTTGACTGCCTTCAGTATTAAAATGCTATTGGGAAAATTGTCTCTTTGTTTTCTGATACGGCATACTGTAGCTTACTGAGTTGATCTCAGCGGTTTAATTAAAGCTACCGGTCATTTACACTTTTTGCCTGACAAAAGAAATAGACGTTTTCGAAAGCTTACAAAATAAGTTGTCATTTTCTGAATGTGTTCACAACTAATTTAGCCTGTATTTATCATTATCTTGTCACTTGTTCTGGTAATAGAACTTATGTATTGTGTCACCAGTCATTACAATGTTTGTGTCAAATCATTGTTTACTACACTTGTTCGATTCAATACATATAAGGATGTTATTTACTATTCTAGGTACTATGATAGTTGTTTCATAGCTTACTTCACCTCTTGCTTCAATATCGTTGTTGCAACAAAGAGTTTCAGTAACAACTAGGAAGTTTATCTTACAAAAAAACTTAATTCAATAGACAACGATATACATTCATTGAGAAGTTGATCTTAAGTTTAATTTATGAAACAATATTAAAAGAAAGCTTTGTAGAGAACAAAATTCTATTATTAATTTACCTGTAAATCATTTTGTTTACTAATTACCTCACAGTATGAAATAATGCACTGTTTTATAACACAATACACTGGTCAACAATACTAAAAACGAAACTGTTTTTGTAGTACATGAAAAACAGTTATCATTTTAGAATATGCATGTATCAAGCAACAGAAACTATTTAACAAAAATGGCGAGTTACCTTGGCTTTAAAGTAGATGAAATTTCCTTCCTTCTTGAACACCGTCCAGAGGGACGCTATTGTAGAGTCACTGTTAAGAACATCGTGTGCGTCATAACAAACAAGTCGGTGTTCTCTGTTAGATAGTTAACACTGTATATGTAATAACTAATGGGTCCGATATGAATTCAAATCAAATATACATATAACGTGGGGTTTTTTTTCAGTCCAGGCTATGTGTGTAAGTATACTGGCTTTAACCTCAGGGTACAGTGTACAGGGTACTTTGAACGGTTCTTGCGAGTGCTAAACGGCGTTCGAGTACAATTTGGTGTACACTATGTATGATTCTTGTAAATGAAAAATGATATACGAATACAGTGTAGCGTAACCGTTGTATATTGTTTGTGAATGTAAAATGACTTAAGGGTACAGTAGGTGTAACACGTTGTATAGTTCTTGTAAATTAAACATGGCTTAAGTGTACAATGTGGGTTACTCTTTGTATGGTTCCTGTAAACATTAAATGACATAAGGGTACAGTATTGTGTGTATATTGTAGGATTCCTCTAAATGGATGTTTACTTTCATGTAAAGCGTTATGTGCAACATCGTATGGGAACATTGTGATTTTTACTTTGTATAACTTGTAATTTAAAAATGGCGTACGGTACAGCCTGATTGCACTTTTTATGATTAATGTAAATATAAAATGACTTACGGGTAAAGTGGTGCACACTGGTAGATGATACAACAGTTTGTATTATAATTGATTGGCATGGTGTGACCTATACTTGCGCACTTGCTACCCGTATATGTACAACTATTACCAAGGATAATAAGTTGTAAACCACTTGGAGAGGACAAAAGTTAAGATAAAGCGGCTTTTAAAAACCTCGAATTAATATTATTGTTTATTATGATTTTTCTTATGTCCGGAATCTGTTGGGTTCCGTCGTCATTTTGAATTCCGTTTTTTTCTTTATTTATTTCTTGTGTTTGTGCATGCTTCCATATACAAGTACATCAATGTGGGCAATACACTTGAATACCCCAATTCAGCCTATACCGTTTTCCTTGTGATTTGGATTTTAACGGGGGATTCCCCTATACAAACATATCGATAGCTTCAATTATAATCAAAATACCACGTTGAGTTTGCTCGTTCGTCGGTATGTATAAAGTATATGTAGTCAGGCTAACCTATCTAAAAAAACGTGTCTCAATTTACAGTTAAAGCATTTAAATGCTGTTACAGCTGTATTATGAAAAAACACACATGTATGTTGTTTTCGTCAAGATTTGCATTAAACAGGAATATACACAAACTTGGTCAGGCTAGTTTAACTAATTGTAATGGGGGACCAATACAGATGTCCCCCAAACTGACCCCATAGTCGCAAAGATGCATTAGAAAAGATTCGCAATGCCATAATACATTTACAATATACATACTATATTTGAGTGACTTCGCACAATTTCTGAATTGCGACCAATCGGAGTGTCTGTGTGGTTGCTATGGCAACGATACCTATGCGATATAATTCGCAGTCCCCAAATACCCCTATATACCAATTGTCATCAAAATAGAACAATTTCTTAATTTCGACCAATCAGAAGCCTCCGTATGGTTGATATAGTAACACAATATATGCGGTTTTATTCGCAGTCCCCTATATACCACTATATACCAATTTTTATAAAAATCGAACAATATATAAATTTCGAACAATCAGAGGCCAGGAATTGGCTGCCATTTTGTTTAGTCACAAAACAAACACCGCAGTTGTAGTTGTAGTGCCATACTTCACATATGCACCAAATTTCATCCTAATCAGACAGAATTCAAATTTGACCAATCAGAGAAAAAAAAACGGCGGCCACTTCGCTGAAATGAGAAATCTAAGGTTCGGAAGTGATCGTTTTCCTATGTTACACCTACAACTAAATTTGGTCAAAATTGGACAATATTTAAATTTAGACCAATCAGAGGATGGAAATGGGGGCCTTTTTGTTGAAATGTGAAACCTAACTTACGGAAGTGATCATTGTCCGCTGATTCACCTACATATCAAATTTGATCGAAATCCGACAATATTTAAATACCGGCTGACCAGCTTTGTGAATATTTGGTTTCAAAACCTATTTTTCAATTTTAAGGATTTGGTATGTCCCGGCCTGAGCGATTGCCTTCCCAATTGGAGCAAACATTGAACAAGAACCTAACGCAGTCGCGACACTAGGAACAAAATGCTTGTTAGGGAATAGGACAAATAAAAAGATCCCACATGTTGTGATGGGGATAGCAAATATATTGTGTTTTTTTCTTGCCTCCTTAGCAGAGGACACAGACGAAAACCGTCGATTCTGTGAGGTTTCACCTTTATACTCTCAGCTGTTTACTACATCAAACACGCAGAGGGATGCAGCAAGCCTATTATTTTCCATAACTATCAGTATATGATAATGGAGTGATTTATTATTCACATTATTGTCAACATGTTTTGATATGAAAAAAAAAGTTAAAAAAATAGTTTAAATGGACATAATATTAATCTTATTTAATCTGTTATAAACATTTGTTCTTAAATCGCTTAGTAGTGCATAAGTGCCATACTAGCAAAAGTGATTACATTAATATCGATTAATTATCATCCTCGAGATTCTGTAAGGGATCCGAAATGATTTATAAAGAAAGACGAGTGTAGTATTCAATTACTTTTTTCAGAACTAGAAGTAGAAGAAGAAATACAAGTAGAATAGAAAACAATTATAATATCTGTACTTAACAATGATAGCGAGGTCGCCGTATTTCATCCTTTCTTTTAAAATTGGGTCGTCGTGGTAAAAACAAAACATGATTTTTTTTGTGACGAGCATGCGAACGTATTTTTCTTTTTTGACAACATATTTTGACCAATATCTATGTACTTATTATATACACTTTTGTATCCTTTTCCGTTCAACTTTAGATTTTCATTATCAATAATGAAGGTTACACGTAATTATTTTTCTCTTTTGGGTCATGTGTTACATGACAACAGCTTTGTTAATAAAATTGCTTTTCAATGTTGAGTAGCATAAATAGTTAATATACCCATGTTTTCGTATGAAGATCATTAAAACTTGTATCATACAGATAATACTAAGACAATAATTGCTAAAGTTCAGTTTTTAAGTTTAAAACATATTGGATTACTTTTATTTTTAGAGATAGCTAAAGCTGGTAGCTAACTGATATCAGATTTCCTGTCGATAGTCACCTGAGTAGACATATCGTTTTTAACAATCACCTTGCTTGTACACGAAGTATCACATGTGCAGTCGACATTATTATTGGTTCAGCTCTGTTGAATTTATTACATTTGCTGCCTTTTAAAACTGGAGTCTTAGATACACTTTGCATTCATGTATACCCATATGCAGAGTTTTTAGATTTGTGTGGAACAAAACATTACAAACACACATATACGCGGGTAGATCCCTTCGGTTATTTAGGAGTTACTGAAACATACTGTTTAAGAAACGTGTATGTGAATATATTTCAAACAAAAATACGTCGTTCATCAGTGTCTACCCTGAATATCTTCAATTCGCATGAAGAACACAGTGATCATACAGGCCTTGGTTTTGATATATATTTCAGAAAGTCATACTCTATATAACATTTTTGTTGGTTAAGACCAAAA